ATAATTAAGCCACAATTTAAAGAGAATCTTTAGAGTATATTTAGGTTTTCATCTGATACTGAGTTAGGTTATTCTAGCCACAGTACTGCCTTTTATACTTTAGGTTTTATGGTTTGTAAACAGAAACAAGATATACAATTTAATAAAATAATGGAAATACAGCCAGGGCTCAATTAGTTCAAGTTCAAATACTGCAAATTTTGATTAAGTGCGAAAGTACTTAATACTAGTTCTTGTTCCCCAAACTCTTCAAATCACACAAAAATTACATACAATTCAAATAGGGGCTGTATTGTAATTTTATCTCTATTTTGTAAGACGTTAAATTTAAAACCCACATTTATTATTTTTTTCATTATATATACAGTGGAACCCCGATAGCGGACGCTTGATAGCGGACAATCCGCATAGCGGACGCTTTGTTCGCTAAAATTTTTGGGCCCGCATAGTGGACAAAAACCCGCTCAGCGGCCTTCGTCCGAGACGCTCCAATGTGCGCCCTCAGCCAGCCTCACATGTGCCCCCTGTGCCATTGTTTACCGCCAGCCTCCGGGTAACATTCAAGCATACACTCGGAATATTTCGTATTTTTTACAGTTTTTTTCGGGGGTGTTTCTGGAAAATAAGGACCATGGGCCCCAAGAAAGCTTCTAGTTCCAACCCTACAGCAATAAGGGTTAGGATTCCTATTGAAATAAAGAAAGAGATCATTGATAAGTATGAAAGTGGAGTACGTATAAACCGACCTGGTCAGGTTGTACAAAAAACCCAAAAATCAAACCATCTCTTCTATTGTGGGCAAGAAAACGGCAATCAAGGAAGCTGTTGTTGCCAAAGGTTTAAAATGTGTTTTCGAAACAAAGATCGCAAGTGATGGAAGATGTTGAGAGACTCTTATTGGTGTTTGGGTAAATGAAAAACAGCTAGCAGGAGATAGCGTCTCTCAAGCGATCATATGTAAAAGGCTAGGGAAATTGCATGACGATTTAATTAAAAAAATGCCTGCAACTAGTGATGATGTGAGTGAATTTAAGGCCAGCAAAGGTTGGTTTGAGAGATTTAAGAAGCGTAGTTGGGATCCATAGTGTGATACGGCATGGTGAGGCGCCAGTTCGGGACCACAAAGCGGCTGAAAAATATGTGCATGAATTCAAGGAAATACATAGAAACTGAAGGACTGAAACCTGAACAAGTGTTTAATTGTGATGAAACAGGCCTGTTCTGGAAGAAAATGCCAAGCAGGACCTACATTACTCAGGAGGAAAAAAGGGACATCCCCCAGGACATAAGCCTATGAAAGACAGGCTTACTTTGTTGATGTGTGCCCAAAGCTAGTGGTGATTGCAAAGTTAAGCCTTTATTAGTGTATCACTCTGAAACTCCCAGAGCGTTCAGGCAAAAGAATTCCTCAAGGATAATTTTGTGTGCTGTGGAGGCAAACAGTAAGGCATGGGTCACTAGGGAATTTTTCTATAACTGGTTACACCATGCATTTGCCCCCCAATTGTGAAAGATTACCTAACTGAAAAGAAATTAGACCTTAAGTGCCTCCTGGTGTTAGACAATGCCCCTGGTCATCCTACAGACGTGGGAGAGCGACTTTATGGGACATGACTTTATTAAGGTGAAGTTTTTTGCCTCCTAAACCACTCCTCTCCTGCAGCCCATGGACCAGCAGGTCATTTCCAACTTCAAAGAAACTGTACACAAAACTTTTGTTTCAAAAGTGCTTTGAAGTGACCACAGACACTCGATTGACTCTAAAAGAGTTTTGGAAGGATCATTTTAATATCCTCAATTGTGTAAACCTTATGGGTAAGGTTTTGGGAGGGAGTGACTAAGAGAACCTTAAAACTCTGCTTGGGAAAAGAAACTGTGGCCAGAATGTGTAGACAAAAGGGATTTTGAAGGGTTTGAGGCTAACCCTGAGAGAGTATACCAGTGGGGAAATCAATTGTGGAATTTGGGAAAGTCCTTGGGTTGGGGGTTAGTGGGGAGGATGTGGAAGAGTGGTGGAGGAGGACAATGAAGAACTAACCACTGAGAGCTGATAGATCAACTTCAAGAGCAAGAGGCCCCGACCTGGGGAAACTGGGTTTAGAAGGGGAAAAGAGAAATTGAAGGAATTGCCTACTTCAAAGATTAAGGAAATGTGTGCAAAATGGCTTGAAGTGCAAACCTTTTTTGATGAAAATCACCCTCACACAGCTATTCAAGCCGTACTGGTGACTGTTACAATGACCACTGTTGTGAACCACTTTTGACAAATCATAAAGGAACGAGAGGTACAGCCCCCTATGGACAGATTAGTTGTGCGAAAGAAGTCCAGTGACTCTGAAGCTGGTCCTAGTGGCAAATTTAAAAGAAGAAGGGGAAATAACCCCAGAAAAGGACTTGCTACCTCAAGTCCTAATGGAAGGGATTCCCCTTCTAAACACTAACACTCTCTCTCCCCTCCTCCCATCCCATCAATCATCACCAGATCTTCAATAAAAGTAAGTGTCCATGGAAAATTTTGCATGCCTTTTTCAGTTTGTGTGTAAAAATTAACATTTTTTTGTGGTAAAAAAAATTTTTTTTCATACTTTTGGGTGTCTTGCACGGATTAATTTTATTTCCATTATTTCTTATGGGGAAAATTCATTCGCATAGCGAACATTTCGCATAACAGCCAGCCCTCTTGCACGGATTAAGTTCGCTATGCGGGGGTCCACTGTAATTTTAAAAATTATGTAATGAATATAAATCAAGTTTCTCTCCATTACAGCATTATTTTGTAAACAATATAATTTTAAATTGTTGAATTTATCCAATAAATGCAAAGCAGAATTCTGAAATGTTTGACATACAGGACAGAGTAGATATATTACTATTATTATTATTAGTACAGTGGACCCCCGCATACCGTTGGCCTTGCATAATGTTAAATCCGCATACCGCTACATTTTATCGCCAAGATTTTGCCTCGCATACCGCTAAAAAACCCGCTCAACGCTGTTCGTCCGAGACGCGTCTAATGTGCGCCCTTAGGCAGCCTCACATGTTCCGCCGGTGGCATTGTTTACCAGCCAGCCTCCGCGGTAACATCCAAGCATACAATCGGAACATTTCGTATTATTACAGTGTTTTTGGTGATTTTATCTGCAAAATAAGTGACCATGGGCCCCAAGAAAGCTTCTAGTGCCAACCCTACAGCAATAAGGGTGAGAATTACTATAGAGATGAAGAAAAAGATCATTGATAAGTATGAAAGTGGAGTGCGTGTCTCCGAGCTGGCCAGGTTGTATAATAAACCCCAATCAACCATCGCTACTATTGGTGGTACAGCTGCTGCTGCTGCTGTACCACCGTCAGCTGCTGCTGCTGCTGTAGTACCGTCTGCTGCTGCTGTAGCATCGTCTGCTGCTGCTGTAGCACTGTCAGCTGCTGCTGCTGCTGCTGTACCACCGTCAGCTGCTGCTGCTGCTGTAGCATCGTCTGCTGCTGCTGTAGCATTGTCTGCTGCTGCTGTAGCACTGTCACTGCTGCTGCTGTACCACCGTCAGCTGCTGCTGCTGCTGCTGTAGCATCGTCTGCTGCTGCTGTAGCATCATCTGCTGCTGCTGTAGCACTGTCAGCTGCTGCTGCTGCTGCTGCTGTACCACCATCAGCTGCTGCTGCTGCTGTAGCATCGTCTGCTGCTGCTGTAGCATTGTCTGCTGCTGCTGTAGCACTGTCAGCTGCTGCTGCTGCTGTACCACCGTCAGCTGCTGCTGCTGCTGTACCACCGTCAGCTGCTGCTGCTGCTGTAGCATCGTCTGCTGCTGCTGTAGCATCGTCTGCTGCTGCTGTAGCACTGTCAGCTGCTGCTGCTGCTGTACCACCGTCAGTTGCTGCTGCTGCTGTAGCATCGTCTGCTGCTGCTGTAGCACCGTTGTTGGTGTGGCTTATTGAGAATACCAAGAAACAATTAACCCCAGAGGATTTACCACCCAGGATAACCCAAAAAAGTCAGTGTCATCGAAGACTAACTTGTTTCCATTGGGGTCCTTAATCTTGTCTCCCAGGATGCAACCCACACCAGTCGACTAACACCCAGGTGAACAGGGAAAAATGCCTGGAACTAGTGCTCATGTTGGTGAATTTAGAGCCAGCAAAGCTTGGTTTGAGAGATTTAAGAATCGTAGTGGCATACACAGTGTGATAAGGCCTGTTCTGGAAGAAAATGCCAAACAGGACCTACAGTACTCAGGAGGAAAAGGCACTCCCAGGACACAGTGTCTCATCAGTCATTGCTGCATCTTCAATAAAGGTGTCATTTATTCTTCATTTAGTAGAGTAGTACATGCACAATATATATTGTGCATGTACTACTCTACTATTGTGCATGTATCCTTCTCTTTGTGTGTAGGAAAATGTATATTTCATGTGGTAAAATTTTTTTTTTCATACTTTTGGGTATCTTGCACGGATTAATTTGATTTCCATTATTTCTTATGGGGAAAATTCATTCGCATAACGATAATTTCACATAACAATGAGCTCTCTTGCACGGATTAATATCGCTATGCGGGGGTCCACTGTAGTAGTATTAGCATTATTCATGGAAAAGTGCTAAACCCCTTGGGTACATATAGCATCTGGGAAACTGGAGATGATTAGGTTTCATCGAGGAGAGAGAGCAGCTTCAATTTCTTTAGTCAAAAGCCATTTACCAGCCTTAAGACACTACGCGAAGGAGCGAAACATCAATCGAATAACTATTTCTGATTTTCTAATACATGTAAAGATATAATCCTTACCTGGAAAACTAACTTCCTAACAAAGTACTTACCATAACAACAGACTAACCATTAAACTGTATATCATATACAGTACTTTTACTGCCTCTTATGAAATAATTTACCATGTAGATTTTTAAAATGCTACAATAAAAAATTACAAAATATATAAAAAAGTAGATCATAAAATTGGAAAAGGTGGGGAAAGCAGCAAAATCCCAAAAGGCAACCATTTAAAGGCTATTTAAAAAAAATATTCCTATACCTCTTTCTCTAAGTTTGAATGTTGTGTGAGCAGAACATCCTTCTCACGTAGCTGACTGGCAAGCTTGTCCTTAGTACGCATTAGATCCTCCATTTCCTGGTCACGTTCACTAGCATGCTCGTCTAAGAACTGACGAGACGATCGCAGCTGTCGGTCAGCCACATCCAGCTGAGGTTGGAACAGTTTATTGACTTAATTGTCAGAAGCAATTAAATTTTTAAGCGTTCTTTTTTTTGCATTTACAAAACCCAAATTTAAGCACTACAGCAATAATCACCTCATTAAAAAACCTCATTGTAATAAATGACAAAACGAAAAGTGAAGATAATGCTGAATGAATTATGTTCCAATGAAAATAGGAAACAATTATTTAGTACAGCAGACTGTGTAATTAATTTATTATTATTTACTGAATTCCTATAACATTCATAAAGTATTTGACAAATGAACTACTCTCAGACCTGGTCACAGAAACAATGATCCCCAGATTCAATACCAGCTCACAGATAAACAGGTGCTCCTTGACTTATGATGGAGTTATGTTCTGACAAACCCATCGTAGGTTAAAAATATTGTAAGCTGAATGTGAATATATGATAAATAAATAAGTAAATAACTACTACTGTCATTGAATAAATAAACAATTAATTACTGTAATTAATTAGCTAAATACAGTGGTACCTCGAGTTTCGAACAGCTCTCAACTCGAGCAATTATGTAAGTGTATTTTTGCAAGTGCTTTTGTAAGTGTATTTTTGGGGGTCTGAAACGGACTAATCTAATTTACATTATTCCTCGTGGGAATAAATTCGTTCGGTATCGGCACTCGAACAGACTTCTGGAACGAATTAAGTTCATAACTCTAGGTACCACTGTACCCGGATTGAAAATTAAATAAATGAGTACAAGTTAGGGACTCGCTGCCTTCATGCTGGGTAATTATCTTAAGTTCCATCTCCAAAGTAATTGCTTTTGCACCATTGTAAACTCAAAATAAGCTGAGAAGCCTCTGTAACTGCAACAAGTAATTTTTTAGATTTCAAGGGATTTCAACTCACTGATGGATTTGTAAGATTTTTTCACTTAACAGCATCAGAAATACACATAACATAGTATATTATGTAATTATACAACAAGGAGAAAATACTTATTACCAGTGAGGATTTTTTTGTTCAGATATTTTCAGCATGTTCTATACAGTACTGTGTGTTGGTGCATGAAAGTGTAAATAAATAATGAAGAATGGTTGTGGGCATATTTTTCACCTCCACCTGAGGTCCATTTCTACAGATACAAAGAACAGAGAGAGACTAGGTAATTAAAAAGAGTAGGAAGAGCGTGTGGTGCCTTGGCAGACATGTGCAGCATCACCTTGTGAGAGTGGAGGAGCTTCCTGGGTCCTGAAGAACATGATGACATCTATCAGTAGGTTGCCATTCTTTGGGATGTGAAGGTGTTTATATTACCTCTCATGTTCAGCTGTCCTTATATGAGTGTGTGTCTATAGTTGTATCATAAAGTGCTTTTAATTACCACAACAAAGATTGATCAACATTACAAATGATCTACTGTCTACATGACTCACGAAATCGTAATGACACGATTGCAAACAAACCATACCCCGGCCGGGATTGAACCCGCAGTCAGAGAGTCTCAAACCTCCAGCCCGTCGCGTTAGCCACTAGACCAGCTAGCTGGTCTAGTGGCCGGGGTATGGTTTGATCTACTGTCCCATGCTAAACTGGTCCTGTCCTTCACACTCAAGTTGGGAGCCCATACTAAGATATCAGAAAATTACACACACCATAAGATGTCAGAAAACATTTTTTCAAGGTAAGTGGTAAAGTGGAATGAAATAAATTAGTGACTCAGAAGGACTCTATACAGGGGTTCAAAAAAAATATGACAGAACAATTTCACATCAGTGGACTGAAAATTTAAAGCTAAAGAAAAACTGAATATAGTATTACTGTGGGGACAATGTTGCCAGTATGCTTTTCTAAATTGAAAGATAGAAGACACTTATATGAACTGCATGAAATTATCAGCAAAGATAAAAGCAATTTTAATTCATAAGGAACATAAAAGCAAATTTACGAAGAAATGCACAAAGTTTTATTTACATGGGTAAAAAACTATAAATGCTGCCAAGGCACATATTAGAAAATAAAAAATAATGTAAAGGCAATCATACAATGAAACAAATTGTATGGAAAAACCCTTATGCATATGCATAGTAAAAATGTTAGTCTCATACCTGCTGGGTCAGATCAGAGACTTCGGATTTCAGCGCCTCAACAGTAGCATCATTCTCTCGGACCAGCGCTTCAAGGATTCCTTCTAGATCTCCAACACGAGCAACGAGTTCATTGTGGTCCATTAATGATTTATTTTTGGCAGACAAGGTGGCACGTACTTCAAGAGAAAAATTAAATATATTAACAAACATCTTACAAATTCTTTATACAGGGGGTCACTGACTTACAAACACCTGAACTACAATCTTCAACATTGATGAATAATGTATAGAGAACATAATATGTATTGATAGTGTTTTCTGAATGACAATCTACAGTTACAAAATTATGTGACACAATTATCATTTTGTACCTTCATGTTCTGTAGGATAATAGGTTTGAAGATACAAATGACCTGTTCCTAAGTTGAAACAATTGCAGTGCAACTTATTTGTAAATTGAGAACCCTGTATTACAAATGTTCAATGAGCTATAATTTATACAAACAAATAAATAAACATATTCACAACTCACTATAATCCAAAGATGAAAATCTTTTAAGGAAAATACCTGCTGTATAAGCAGGGCCGGAACCTAATCTGCTGTATAAGCAGGACCCTACAGTAGCCCATAACTGAACCTGCTGTATAAGCAGGACCCTACAGTAGCCCAGAACCTAATCTGCTATATAAGCAGGACTCTACAGTAGCCCAGAACCAAACCTGCCGTATAAGTGGGGCCCTACAGTAGCCTGAAACCTAATCTGCTGTATAAGCAGGGCCCTACAGTAGCCCAGAACCTAACCTGCTATATAAGCAGGGTCCTACAGTAGCCCAGAACCTAACCTGCTATGTAAGCAGGGTCCTACAGTAGCCCAGAACCTAACCTGCTATATAAGCAGGGTCCTACAGTAGCCCAGAACCTAACCTGCTATGTAAGCAGGGTCCTACAGTAGCCCAGAACCTAACCTGCTATGTAAGCAGGGTCCTACAGTAGGCTGGAACCTAACCTGCTGTATTAGCGGGGCCCTCCTGTAGTTAAAATATTTAAAGAACAGCAGTTTAGCCTGATCTAGTATTAAAAGAATTCACCTTTGTAAGCCAGAACAGAAACCTAAGAAAAAATAATTAAATTTCATAAACTTAACAGAATTATATCAAATTTCACATCTTTTGCTACAAATAAAAATGTTAATATTTTATTGAAAATTTAAAGTCTCAAGGGAGTCTATGGCCATATGACTTCCCTGATAGTTGCAACAGAATTCACAGGCATAACACCAGACATAAACATCTCTACGAAACTCCTGTGAACAGGTGCTCCTCAGGTGAAGATGGTATGACTTATGATATTTTGACTTTACAATGGTGCAAAAGCAATTACTTTGGAGATGTTGATAAATTAGACACATGTGCAACTCTTGGGTATCTTTATTGAGGAAACGTTTCGCCACACAGTGTGGCGAAATCGTTTCCTCAATAAAGATACCCAAGAGTTGCACATGTGTCTAATTTATCAACATGTTGGTTCTCTGAACCATCCATCTACTTTGGAGGTGAAACTTAAGATAATTACCCAGCATGAAGGCAGCAAGTCTGCAACGTGTATTCATTTATTTATTTTTCAATACTAGTATTTAGTTATGATAATTATTGTTTATTTACTTTTTTTTTTTTTGGTGATATTAGTTTTTATTATATTTACTTTTTTAAAACTTAATTCGTAAACATATCATAAATCAGTAGTATTGACTGTTTGCTCCTTCTAAACTGTTGTATCCGAGCGCCTCTGCAAAGACAATGATTATGTATGATTGATGGTGAAAGAGTTGAATGATGAAGAAAGTATTTTTTTCTTTCTTTTTGGGTCACCCTGCCTCGGTGGGAAACAGCCGATGTGTTAAAAAAAAAAATCGTATTTGACTTAAGATATTTTCGACTGATGATGGTTCATTGGAACATAATCCCATCATAAGTCAAGGAGCAACTGTGGTTACTATGTGCATAAAAGTACCTAAACTCTGTAACTCTTTGCCTGAAAATTCCTGAGACTCACTGTCTGCTAACCACTTCAAAGCTTATGTTAAAATACACCTCCTTATCTTAATGTGATCCTGACAACAGTTTATTATGTTGAACAAATCCTGAAACCTCGTCGTTCATCCATTATTATTCCATCCTTCCTTCAGATCTTATTTATTACTAGAAAAGCATTTATATCCTTATATCAATTCAGGTACCTAGTTTCATCTTTAATTGAGTTTTTTAATAGATTACCAAATGCCTTCAATATAGTATAAACTAAGTACGTATTTTCATTTTCATATACTATGCATGTCTCATTGTCTAACATAAGTTAGTTTTAAGGTTGCTCAAAATGCTTTGCATAACAAGGGCTTTCTATAAAATAGTTTATACATGTCAATTACATAATTTTACACTGTACACTATGCCATTTTATAGAAATAAAATTGTCTTTGCTAGAAAACCTTAATTTGCGCTATCATACCTCACATTATCAATATTATACCATTTAAATTTACTTTTTAATTTCCAACAGAAGTACAGTACATCATTTCCATTAAAGAAATGTACATGAGCAGAATTCATTTTCATTGGTAGCAAGCATTTCACTTAATGAGTGCTGTGGCAGGCTGTATTATATAAAGTTTAGTGGAGAGTGCACCTCTGCCAACCATACTGCCACTGAAAAGTTCCCAGCCAAGCTTTTGTACCTTATAAATATGATGATGGTAAACGATACAAACTAGTTGAAAGTAAGATACATGTGCAACAGTTAGGTATCTTTATTCTAAAACACTTCGCCTCCACAGCAGGCATCTTCAGTTGAATACAGAGAAGGCAGCAGGAGCAGTAGAGCTGTAAACACTTTACTACTCAAAGTTAGTTGGACAATGTCTAAATAAATCCACATTCTGTCACTATCTTCCGAATATATTACACTGTGAAAAAAGCTTCACAACACGGTTGAGTTTGCTGTTCACTGCATACAATGAAATATTAATAAAAATTTAAATACTGTACCCCTCTCTCTGATGTCTTTTGAGCTTTCCATTCTTGCCGCATACTGAGTAGTAGCCGTTCCCCCTCCCTGACCCTGCTGCCCTAGCTCTAGTTCTTCTATTTGATCCTTGGCAACCTTTTGGGAAATATTTTTCATACAAATTGTGCACTAAGATAAGATTATATTAAATGGATTATTGTAATTATAATGAATGCATAAAAAGAGTTCAAACTTGACACTTAACATACTATTTTTAAATAGGAAAGATTTGCAATTAAAACACGATTCTTCAGAAATATCTGTACTGCTACATACTTGAAAGACAATCAACAGAATGGAAAACCAAGATAATGCTGTAATAATGAGAATATCTGAAAGACAATTGACAGAATGGACAAACCTAAGATAATGCTGTAATAAAAGTATACATAAACTTTAATCAGCAAACCTGAGCTCACTCACCTGGAGCTCCATCGCAAGGTTCTTGCTGTAGTGGTTCAGACGATTATTTTCATCTTTTAACGCTTTCTTCTCGTCCTGCAAGCCCCTCAGTAAGCCCTCTAAATGGTGTAGTTTTACTTGAAGATGCTCTGTCGCCTGGGCATTCTGACAAAGTTGTCTCAGGACATCCTTCAGTTTATCAATATCCTTAAGTTCTTGGTGCTTTAGTGTGGTCAAATTCATGAAGGATTCATCTTGGCTCAGTAAGAGGCTGAGGCTCTCTGAGAGATCATTAAGATCTTGTGGAGATAATGCAGTGAATACCTGAGAGAGTGATGGCTGATCAGGCACACCTGCAGTATCCTCCAGTAAATGAGGCATTTTCTCAGTGCTTTTCAAAAGATGCATTAGTTTCTTTTAGCACTAAACACAGCTGCTAAAGTCCCATAGCCACCAGATTCACTTTTCTCTTCAGGCTTTGTCTGTACTTTGTCATCTTCTGGAGCATTACCCATTGTATTATCCTCATCTTTACTAGTAGTATCACTAATGTGATGCTGACTCAGATCATTCACTGTCTCCTTCACACTATCACTTTCAATTTCATCTTTAACAGTGTGAGAAGAAAATTCTTGATTATCAGAAGATAGTGAATGCATAAATATTTTTAACATTCCTGCTGAAGCTTGTAGTGAAATGGTTAACTCCTGAACTTCCTTCTCCAAATTTTCCACAACTACCCGATCCCAACGGCCTTTCAAAATAGACATCAGCTGTGGGTATGATTTAGTGAGTATATTACGGACTTGCTCGTCCTTGTCCATATCCTCCAGCATTCCTTCACTCATTGCAGTACTATCTAACACTGATTCTGAGTTACTTGCTACCTCTGTATCTTCACTAGATAGGCAAAAACTGT